AAACCACATGCATCCAGACTGGTAGGAGGGGTGCTGACGTGGAATGGGCTGGTCCCTCACCCTCATGTGGTGGATAAAAGTACAGGAAGGATATCTTGGGAGCAAGGAGTCCCAGCCCCACACCAGGTCCCCCAGTCCAGGGTTCCAGTGCCAGGAAGATAAGTCCCCCCCATCTTCTGGCTACAAAAACCAGTGGGGATTGAGTCAGTGGAAGAAAACTACTGGAACCCCAAGCAGTTCCTCTTAAAAAACCCACACATGGACTCACACACTCAGACTCACTATCTCTGAGCACCAGCACCAGGGTAACAGCTTGAAGACATCAGAGGCATAAGGGGAGGAACACTTATGTGATGCACACATAAGTGTGTGGCATCAAGGCAAGCAGAAGCCATTGTCCTTTTTCTAAACCCTCCCCCTACAAAGCTAGCAAGCTGGTCCCATATCTGAGACCTAGCTAACACTGTTTGACCCACCTTGGTGATCCCAAGAGACTCTGTTCCACCCAGTTTATGGACCCACCCAAGCTGCTTTTCCATATGATTGGTTGGCCTTGGCTCATGCTTCACAACTTCCTAAATCCTCTCAAACAAGCAACATCAGGCCTCAGTGAGCCCCAGGTGCAGCACTAGCACCAGCCAGCCTGGATTCACAGCTTGACTTTGGTTAGGACCCCCAAGCCCAGCACAAGCAGCACCCATCTGAGATTGCTTTACAGTTTAGGCAGGGTGGCCCTTGGCAAAACACAGGTAAAAACTGACTTTGGCTTGCACCACCAGGAAACCCCAGGGCCAGTGCACCCAGTGGACATCTACAGACCACATAGGAGCACTACCACCTTGTATCACCATCCAGTTTGGATGCCTTTTTTAAAATTATTATTTATTGACTTTTTTTTTTTTAAGACAGAGACATCTATTTGTTGTCCTTCTTATATACGCATTCATTGGTTGCTTTTTGTATATGCTGTTATTGTCATCAAACCTTTAACCTTGGTGTATGGAAACAAAGTTCTAGCCCACTGAGTTACTCTTCCAGAGCTTTTATATTTTTTCTTCTTTTCTACTTGCTGTGGCTAGCACTTCCAGTACAATGTTGAATAAGAGAGGTGAAAGGGACATCCCTGTCTTGTTCCTAATCTTAAGAGAAACCCTTGTATTTTGCTCATTGAGTATTATGTTGGCTGTGGGTCTTCATATATGGCCTTTATTATGTTGAGGTATGTTCCCTCTATTCCCACTTTGCTGAGCGTTTTTATCATAAATGGATGCTGGATTTTATCAGGTGCTTTTTTTTCTATATCTATGGATATGATCATGTGATTTTTATCCTTCATTTTGTTCATGTGGTGAATCACATTTATTGTTTTGCAGATATTGTACCAACTTTGCATTCATGGAATACATCCCACTTGATCATGGTGTTTCATCATTTTAATGCATTACTGGATCCTGTTTGCTAATATTTTGTTGATTTTAACATCTGTGTTCATCAGTGATATTGGCATATAATTATCTTTCTTTGTAGTCTCTTTACCTGATTTTGGAATTAGCATAATGCTGGCCTCAGGAAATGAGCTTCAGGGTCTGCCCACTTCTTGAATTTTTTGGAATCGTTTGAGACGGAGAGATGTTAGTTCTGTGAATGTTTAATAAAAATATCCTGTGAAGCCATATGATCCAGGACTTTTTTTTCTTGGGACTATTTGTGTTACTGCTCAATTTCACTTGTAATTTGTCTATTTAAACACTTTCATTCTCCTGATTCAGTTTTTGGAAGATTTTATGTTTGTAGGAACTTACCCATTTTGTCCAGATTGTCCAGTTTGTTGGCATATAGTTGTCATGATATTTTCTTCCAATCCCTAGTATTTCTGTGGAGGTTACTTCTCTTTCATTTTTTATTTTGGGTCTTTTCTCTTTGTTTCTTGATGAGTCTGCTTAAAGATTTGTTGTCTTTTCAAAGAACCAGCTGTTGGTGTCATTGGTCTTTTTTATTGTCATTTTTGAGTCTTTCCTGTATTTCTGCTCTGATCTTTGCTTCTTTTTCTTCTTTGCTTTCTTTGTGCTTTGTTTGCTGTTCTTTTTTCCAGGTTTTCTTTTGTAACTATAAAAAGTAAAGTGATTGACTATGAATGTAAATGGTTCTTTACTCAAGGTAGAATTCACAATTAGACAATGCTAGTTTTAAATGAGTATTTTTGAATAGTTCAAAGGAATAATCAGTTACCTTATTTCTAATGATGGTTTGATTTTTTTCATCGCAATTCATGGAATCAACAGTAAAGTTTCTGGAAGTTCTTTCTGAAAAAGGTGGAATACTATTGTAATTTCAGTTAAAAAGTCAGCATTGCTAAGTGAAATAAGCCAGGTGGTAAAAGACAAATACCATATGATCTCACCTTTAACAGGAACCTAAACAAAGAAACAAGCAAAATATAACCAATGACACTGAAATAGAGAACAGGCTGACAGTGTTCAGAGGGGAGAGGAGAGGGAATTTCAGGAGAAAAAGGGAAGGGTTTACAGGAACAAGTATAAAGGACACATGAATAAAAAACGAGGGGCAGGTGGAAATGGGAGGGAGGAGGGGAGGGCTGGGTGGGTGGGCTGGGATTGGGAGTAAAAGATAGAAAATTGTACTGCAACAACAATGAAAATACAATTAAAAAAATAAAAAATTAGAAAAAGTCATCATTTAAGATAAATTAGTTTTTGTGGTAATATTACAAATGTAAATTTAAGTGGAACACACCATCATAAAACCAGTGTCTTTTATAAATTAAGAAAGCTAAAATGATTTATATCTTTTGTAATGTATCTGAATAAGCTACCTTTCTTTTTCTTAATATATCAGATAGCACTTATTTCCATAAGCAGTTAAATCTGTGTTTGACCAACCAAAACGTAAATTGTAGTCCAAATTTACAATGTATATATACACTTATACAGAGAGTCACCGAACTACTAAGTTCTTTGATGATATCAATGTTGACTACAAAAAAATACTTCAGTGCAGCATGTGCTTTATCTTTTTGCTGTCAAATTTTAGAATTGTTTGAGCCTTCGAAGAATTACTTTTGTAAATCAGTTAAGGTGATTTACAATGGTATCTAGCTTCTTTGTAAACAAGTCCTTTATATTATGGCTGCATTTTATTCCAAATCACTTAGAAATCTTTCATCAGAATTTTTGATAAATGGATTGTCAAAAACACAATGTTTTTGAAGTTTGTAGAAAATTGTAGTTATTGGAAATGAAGTTTGCACATAGGAAAACAATGATTTTTATTCCTACAAATGCAAAGGAGGAATTGAACAAATTAAATGACTAGAGCCCAAACAGTGTACTACTTTCATTTTTCTTAATGTATAATTAAATCTAGAACATTGCTTCTTGAAGGAAGAACTTTCTGTTTTCAACTGGGTAAATTTAGGTTCTACACTGACAAGGAATATAATTAAGACTTGTTTTCAGCATCTAAAGTGGCAAAACATTTAAAACAATTTTTGTCTCAAGAAACTATTTGTCAAAGCAGATAATAACAAGTGTTGACAAGGATGCGATGAAATTGGAACCCTCATACATTACTGGTGGGAATGTAAAATTATCCAAAAGAGTCTGGCAGTTCCTCAGTGGTTAAATGTCTAGTTGCCATGTGATTTATCCAGCAATTCTACATCTAAGTATATATACCCAAGAGAAGTTAAAACTCCCATCCACACAAAAACTTGTAAGTGAATGTTTGTAACAGCAACATACATAATATCCCCAAAGTGGAAACAACCCAAATGTCTGTCAGCTGATGAATGTATAAACAAAATATGGTATGTCAATACAGTGGACTGTTTTCAGCATTTATTTTACTTTTTTGTAGAGTACAGACCTCATTAACTTTTTTTTAATTGAATTTATTTGAGTAACATTGATTAACAAAATTAATACAGGCTTCAGGTGAACAATTCTATAGCACATCATCTCTACACTGTATTGTGTGTTCACTACCCCAAGTTATTATCTGGCACTTAAAAGGGTAAAGTACTGATACATGCTGTAATATGGATGAACCCAGAACACATGTTAAGTGGAAGAAGCCAGTCACAAAGGACAATGTAGTATATGGTTACATTGATATTAAATGTCCACAATAGGTAAATCTATAGACAGAGAAAATACATTAGTGCCACCAGCATAAGGTATATTGGAGGAGTGTGGGGTTTCTTTTTGGAATAATGAAAATGTTCTAGAATTGATTGTGATGATGATGCACAAGTCTGTGACTATACTTAAAGCTATTGAATTGTACTGTTTTAAAAAGCTGAATCATGTATTATGTGAATTATATCTCAATAAAGCTGTCAAAAGAAGGGACTCTGTATGGAAGCAAAAGGCAATATTGTAAAACATTTGGGCTGAAATATTTACACATTTCAATGCTAATCCTCTACCAGGTAAATTTGCTCTTATAAACTATTTTTATCAAGTAAAAATATCATCAATTGAGGAAATTGAATCAGTTGAAAAAATCAGCATTCTCAAACTGATAAGAAAGAAGAAAAAAATCCCACTACTCAGGGATAATTTTTGTTAATCTTTTGTTTTCTATCTTTCATATGGATATAACATGGATATAATGTTTCATGAAATTATATACTCTTCCCATTCAGAATATATCAGCTTCCATTCAGAGCTCCCTCCTTTTTCTTAATATATCAGATACCACATTTCCATGTTTGTTCATTTGAGTTCTTATTGTAGGCTATTTGAACATTTCATTTATATTAGTCACCAGCCCTACTAATTGTTTGTGGTTGGAGAATATGCATGATGTCCAATTTAACCCCAGTGCATTGTACAAGTGCCTGATGCACAGAAGGCACTTAATAGCTGTTCCTTGACTGAAATGATTGACCAAAAAGAACAGAATCCTACTGCCACTCCATCATTGAAATTGCAATGAAAATAATCTGTTTTATTTTGTTTTCCTTTCTATTTTCATAGGTATCGTGCTCCTGAAGTTTTATTAAGATCTTCAGTTTACAGCTCTCCCATTGATATGTGGGCTGTTGGGAGTATAATGGCTGAACTATATACATTAAGACCACTTTTCCCAGGGACAAGTGAGGTTGATGAAATCTTTAAAATTTGCCAAGTTTTAGGGACTCCAAAAAAAGTAAGTACTCTTGTTCTTAAATTGTTATAACTTTTGATTATAACTTTTGCCTAGCTATATGATATTTTTATTTTCAAATAGGCTCATGATTTAATGGTTAAGTTTCTTTTAATTCTTAATTTTTTAAAAAAATTGGGGTGGGATGAGGATTATAAGAAGTCAGATCCCAATAGACTGAATAAAAAAGATGCTTGCCTTTGTTTAAGAACCTAGGAAAAATGCTCCATATTTAGAATTCTGTATATTTAATTTTGGGTTGATGACTGACAGCTACATAGACATCCTTACTTGGACTCTTACCTACTTTCTCTGTGAATGTCCATTGGCATCAACTCATTACCCCAGGTGTCCTGGATTACTTTCTCTTAGCTTTGCCTTGTTGCCTTTTATATACCTCTGCCATGGACATATGACTTCTTGGACTGAATATTTTTCACTTAACTACTTCATTCAACTAGATTTTACATTCAGGGGTGTGCTTAATAAGTTTAAGTATATATAATTATCTCTTAATTAATTAGTATGTGTCATGTGGTTAACAGTAGCTATTAAAGCTTTAAGTTGTCATTACCCAGCTATGTGAAATTTTTATTTTTAATTGTATTTTATGGATTATGCTATTACAGTAGTCCTGATTTTTACCCTATTGTCCCACTCCACCCAGCCTTACCACTCCCTCAGGCAGTCCCCCTTCCATTGTTCATCTCCATGGGTCATGCATGTAAGTTCATTGGCTACTCATTTCATATAGTGTATTTTTATATCCCCATGGCTATTCTGTAACTACCTATTTGTAATTCTTAATCGCCTCACCTCGTCTCCCATTCCCTCACACCAGCTTCCATATGGCAGTCATGAAAACACTCTGTATATCCATGATTCTATGGATATATTCCATGACCTCTGTTCTTTTTGTTTGCTTAGTTTTTTAGATTCAATTGTTTTTGTATTTTTGCCATTATATTGTTCAAAGTTTTGAGCTTCTTCTTTTTCTTAAATAAGTCCCGTCAACATTTCATGTAATAATTGTTTGGTGATGATGACCTCCTTTAGTTTTTTCTTGTTTGGGAAGCTCTTTATCTGCCCTTGGATTCTAAGTGACAGCTTTGCTGGATAGGGCAATTTTGGCTGTGGGTACCTGCTTTTCATGACTTTGAATATTTCTTGCCAATCCCTTCTAGCCTGAAAAGTTTCTTTTGAGAAATCAGCTGACAGTCTTATGGGAACTCCCCTGTAGGTAACTAACTGTTTTTCTCTTGTTGCTTTTAAGACTCTTTCTTTATCTTTAACCTTTGGCTTGTTAATTATGATGTGTTTTGGAGTGGGCCTCTTTGTATCCATATTGTTTGGGACTCTGTGCTTCCAGGATTTGCATGTTTATTTCCTTCACCAAATTAGGGAAGTTTTCTTTCATTACTTTTGCAAATAGATTTCCAATTTCATGCTCTTTCTCCTCTTCCTCTGGCATGCCTATGTTGCGAAAGTTGGGCCTCTTGAAGTTGTCTGAGAGGCTACTTATGCATATATTCTCATTTTTTTTGGATTCTTTTCTTGTTCTGATTGGTTTTTTTCTACCTTATGTTCTAAACCATTGATTTGATTCTCACCTTCATCCACTCTACTGTTGTTTCCCTGTAAATTGTTCTTTATTTCAATTAGTGTATCCTTTGTTTCTGACTGGATCTTTATGTTGCTGAGGTCCTCACTGAGTTCTTTGAGCATCTTTATAAAGTGTTTGGAACTCTGCATCAGATAGATTGCTTATCTCCATGTTGTTTAGCTCTTTTTCTGGAGTTTTGATTTGTTCTTTTCATTTGGGCCATGTTTCTTTGTCTCCTCATTTTGGCAGCTTTCCTGTGTTTGTTTCTATGTATTAGGTAGAGCTGCTTTTGACTCCGTGTCTTGGTAGTGTGGCCTAATATAGTAGGTGTCCTGTAGGGGTCCAGTGGCACAGCCTCCTCTATCACCAAAGCTATACTCGAAGTGTGCCCTTCATGTGGGCTGAGTACACTCTCCTCTTGTAGTTAAGCCTTGATTGCTGTTGGCAGATCAATGGATGGGATTTACCAAGGCCAGTCAGCTGCAAGGATTGGCTGTGACCACTTGCCACCAACCTCTGCCCTCAATGGAGGATCAGCTGTGCAGAGGCAATGTGATAGTGCTCCTGTGTGGTCTGTAGATGTCCACTGGGTGCACTGGCCCTGGGGTTTCCTGGTGGTGTAAGCCAAAGTCAGTTTTTACCTGTGTTTTGCCAAGGGCCACCCTGCCTAAACTGTAAAGCAATCTCAGATGGGTGCTGCTTGTGCTGGGCTTGGGGGTCCTAACCAAAGTCAAGCTGTGAATCCAGGCTGGCTGGTGCTAGTGCTGCACCTGGGGCTCACTGAGGCCTGATGTTGCTTGTTTGAGAGGATTTAGGAAGTTGTGAAGCATGAGCCAAGGCCAACCAATCATGGAAAAGCAGCTTGGGTGGGTCCATAAACTGGGTGGAACAGAGTCTCTTGGGATCACCAAGGTGGGTCAAACAGTGTTAGCTAGGTCTCAGATATGGGACCAGCTTGCTAGCTTTGTAGGGGGAGGGTTTAGAAAAAGGACAATGGCTTCTGCTTGCCTTGATGCCACACACTTATGTGTGCATCACATAAGTGTTCCTCCCCTTATGCCTCTGATGTCTTCAAGCTGTTACCCTGGTGCTGGTGCTCAGAGATAGTGAGTCTGAGTGTGTGAGTCCATGTGTGGGTTTTTTAAGAGGAACTGCTTGGGGTTCCAGTAGTTTTCTTCCACTGACTCAATCCCCACTGGTTTTTGTAGCCAGAAGATGGGGGGGACTTATCTTCCTGGCACTGGAACCCTGGACTGGGGGACCTGGTGTGGGGCTGGGACTCCTTGCTCCCAAGATATCCTTCCTGTACTTTTATCCACCACATGAGGGTGAGGGACCAGCCCATTCCACGTCAGCACCCCTCCTACCAGTCTGGATGCATGTGGTTTCTTTAATTACACAGTAAGTTGTCAGATTTCCATTCAACTCAGTTTCTGATGGTTTGGAGTGATGGTGGTTCTATATTTTAGTTGTAATTTTGATGTGGTTGTGTGAAGAGGTGAACCATGTCTCCCTACGCTGCCATCGTGACTGGAAGTGTGCAATTTTTAACATTAGTGTAATGTATAATGAGGATCTTTGTCACGATGAGACACATTGTAAAGCAGGTATCCTTATTTTTTCAAAGTCACTGTCATCATGTATTTCATTGTCATATTCATCATCATCCAAATAGTAGACGAGAGTTTAATATTTTGAAATTTATAAAAATGCCTTCTCATTTTTTCCTAACTCTTAGTTCAGTATTATTTCTATACTGTTTGTAGCACTGAATTGTTAGTGGTCTAGTAGTCCATTCTCACATTTATTTATATGAATCAACATTAAAATTTTCACATGTGAATGGCTTGTATATTATTACTGTGTTTTTAAATGTATTACTAATATTCTTTTTGCTGTCTCCCTACTTACATATTTCTTAAACAGAGTGACTGGCCAGAAGGGTACCAGCTTGCATCTGCGATGAATTTCCGTTTTCCCCAGTGTGTTCCTATAAACTTAAAAACTCTTATTCCAAATGCCAGTAATGAAGCTATTCAGCTTATGATTGAAATGTTGAATTGGAATCCAAAGAAACGACCAACAGCAAGCCAGGTAAAATTAATCTCCCTGGTACACTTTTGTTAAGTTTTGAGGATGTACAATACAGGGATATTTTCATTTGTAAAGAGAAGTCTTTTCACAACCAGGTATATCAAAAGAATTAAAGCCCTAAAGTCTTAAGGCCCAGTATATATAATAAATTAATTTCTAGGCATGCAAGATACTTGGGAAAATTGCAAAAATAGTCATACCAGTAACTTTACATGTTTTATAGTTCAAATGAGAAATGTTATAAAGGTAAGGCTGAAAGGAATACTGTATTTTGCCATATATAATACACACTTTTTTTTAGATTATTAGATTAGTCTTATTTTTGTCTCTTTTTAGCTTTATTCCATTTATTTATTTTTTCCACTTTTTTTATTGTTGCTCAAGTACAGTGGTCTCCATTTTCCTCCTACCACTCCCCCCACCCCAGCCATCCCCACTTGATTCTATCCCCCTTTGGTTTTGTCCCTGTGTCCTTTGTACCTGTTCCTATAAACCCTTCCCCTTTTCCCCCCTTATCCCCTCCCACCTCCCCTCTAGTTATTGTCAATTCTTAATTTCAGTGTCTCTGGTTATATTCTGCTTACGTGTTTCTTTTTTTACTAGGTTCCACTTATATGTGAGATGATATACTTGTTTTTCATTGCCTGGCTTATTTAACTTACCATAATGCTCTGCAGATTCATCCATTTGTCCCAAAGAGTAGAGCTCCTTTCTTTCTGCTGCATAGTATTCCATTGGGTAAATGTACCATAGTTTTTTGATCCATTCATTTACTTACGAGTACATAGGTTGCTCCCAACCCTTGGCTATTGTAAATTGTGCTGCTATGAACATTGGGATGTATAGGTTCTTTTGAATTGGTGTTTCAGGGATCTTAGGGTATAATCCCAGCAATGGAATTGCCAGGTCAAAAAGCAGTTTCATTTTTGCTTTTCTGAAGAAATTCCATGCTGTTTTCCACATTGGCTGCACCAGTTTGCATTCTCACCAAAGTGCACTAGGATTTCCTTTTCTCCACATTCTCTCTGACACTTGTTTGTTGATTTGTTTATGATGGCCATTCTGACCAGTGTGAAATGGTATCTTACTGTGTTTTCAGTTTGTGTCTCTCTGATGGCTAGTGATGCTGAGCATCTTTTCATAATTCTCTGGGCACTTTGCATGTCCTCCTTGGACATGTATCTGTTCAAGTCCTTTGCCCATTTTTTAATTGGTTGTTTGTCTTCCTGGATTGGAGTTATGTGAGTTCTTTATATATTTGGAGATAAAACCCTTGTCTGAAGTGTCATTGGCAAGTATGCTTTCTCATATGGTTGATTCTCTTTTCATTTTAATGCTGTTTTCTTTAGCTGTACAGAAGCTTTTTATTTTGATGAGATCCCATTTTTTTATTCTTTCCTTTATGTCCCTTGCTATAGGGGACATATTGGGGAAGATACTGTTGTGTGGAATATCTGAAATTTTCCTGCCTATGTTCTCCTCTAGGACTTTTATGATGTCATGACTTATATTTAAATCTTTTACCCACCTTGAATTTATTTTGGTGTATGGTGTAAATTGGTGACCAAGTTTCATTATTTTTCATGTAGCTGTCTAGCTCTCCCAACACCTTTTGTTGAGAGGCTATTTTTGTTCCATTTTATGCTTCTGCCCCCTTTGTCACATATTAAATGACCATAAAAACTTGGGTTTATTTCTGGGCTCTCTGTTCTGTTCCATTTGTCCATGTGTTTATTCTTATGCCAGTACCATGCTGTTTTGAGTACAATGGCCTTGTAATACAGTTTGAGATCAGGTATTGTGATCCCTCCTACTGTGTTCTTCTTTCTCAAAATTGCTTCAGTTATCCGGGGTCATTTATGGTTCCATATAAGTTTCTGAAATGTTTGTTCTATGTCTGTTAAATATGTCATTGGTACTTTAATAGGGATTACGTTGAATCTATAAATTGCTTTGGATAATATGGACATTTTTATGATGTTAGTTCTTCCAATCCATGAACATGGTACATGCTTCCATTTGTTTGTCTTTCTTAATTTTTTTCTTCAGTGTTATGTAGTTTTCAGAGTACAAGTCTTTTACCTCCTTGGTTAGGTTTATTCCTGGGTACTTTATTTTTCTTGTTGCTATATGAAATGAGATTTTTTTCCTGATATCTGTTTCTGCTATTTCATTGTTGAGATACAAAAATGCCTTTGATTTCAGAATATTGACTTTTATACTGCTTTTTTTCCAAATTCACTTATTTGGTCAAGTACTTTTTTGATGGAGTCTAGGATTTTCTATGTATACTATCATGTCATCTGCAAAAAGTGACAGTTTTGCTTGCTCCTTTCCAATTTGGATGCATTTTACTTCTTTTTCTTGTCTGATTGCTATGGCTAGGAATTCCAATACTATGTTGAATAGGAGTGGTGGAAGTGGACATCTTTGTCTTGTTCCTGATCTTAGTGGGAAAGTTTTTAGTTTTTGCCCATTGAGTATAATGTTGGGTATAGGTTTCTCACATATTGCCTTTATTATGTTGAGGAATGATCCCTCTACTCCCACTCTGCTGAGTGTTTTTTCAAAAATGGGCACTGTACCTTACCAGATGCTTTTTCTGCATCTATTGATATGATCATGTGATTTTTGTCTTTTGTTTATGGATGCATTACGTTTACTGATTTGTGAATATTGTATCATCCTTGCATCCCTGGGATGAATCTCACTTGATCATGATGTATGATCTTTTTAATGTATTGCTAGATGCGTTTGCCAGTATTTTGTTGAGGATTTTAGCATGTGTGTTCATCAGTGATATTGGCCTGTTGTATTCTTTCTTTGTTGTATCTTTGTCTGGTTTTGTAATTAGGATGATCCTGGCTTCATAAAAAGAGTTTGGGAATCTTCCATTTTCTTGGAATGGTCTGTGAAGGATAGGTGTTAGCTCTTCCTTAAATTTTTGTAAAATTCTCCTGTGAAACCATCTGGTCCAGGGCTTTTGTGTGTTGCAAGTTTTTTGATTACTGCTTCAATTTAGTCAGTTGTTATTGGTCTATTCAGGCTTTCTATTACTTCTTCGTTGAGTTTTGGAAGATTATATTTTTCTAGAAATTTGTCCATTTCATCTAGGTTTTCAAATTTCTTGGCATACAGTTCTTTTTAGTAATTTCTCACAGTCCTTTGTATTTCTGTGGTATCAGCTGTAATCTCTCCTCTTTCATTTCTGATTGTGTTTATTTAGTTTCTCATTTTTCTTGATGAGCCTGCTTAAAGGCTTGTCGATTTTGTTTATCTTTTCAAAGAACCAGCTCCTGTATTTATTGATCCTTGGAATTTTTCTTTTAGTCTCTATGTCATTTTATTCTGCTCTGATCTTGGTTATTTCCTTCCTCCCACTTGCTCTGGGCTGCCTTTGTTGTTGTTCTTCCAGTTCTTGTAGATGTAGGGTTAGGTTGTTTATTTGAAATGTTTCTATCTTTTTTAGGTAAGCTTATATTGCTATGAATTTCCCTGTCAGGACTGCCTTTGCTGTGTCCCATAAGTTTTGGATTGTTGTGAGTTCATTTTTATTTATTCCCACAAACTTTTTGATTTCTTCTTTGATCTCATACTTGACCCATTCATTGTTAATAGTATGGTATTCAATCTCCATGAATTCGAGTGTTTTTGAGTTTTTTCTTTGAGGTTGGTTTCTAGTTTCAGTCCCTTGTGGTCAGAGAAAATGCTTGATATGATTTCAATTTTCTTGAATTTCTTGAGGCTTATTTTGTGTCTTATCATGTGTTCTGTCTTTCAAAATGTTCCACATGCATTGGAAAAGAATGTGTATTTAGCTTCTTTGGGATGAAAGGCCCTCTCTATATATATCAGTTAAGTCTGTTTGATCTAGGACATTTTCAGTGCTGCAGTATCCTTGTTGATATTTTGTTTGGAAGATCTATCCATTTTGATAGTGGGGTGTTAAAACCCCCTAGTATAGGTGTGTTGCTGTCTGTATCTTTCTTGAAGTCCCCCAAGTATTTTCTTGTGTATTTGGGTGCTCCTATGTTGTGTGCATATGTGTTTATATCTTCTTGATTGATTCTTCCCTTGATCAGTATGAAGTGTCATTCTGGGTCTCTTTTTATGGCTCTTAGTTTGAAGTTTATTTTGTCTGATATGAGTATTGCTACCTCAGCTTTTTTTTTCCTGTCCGTTTGCTTAGAATATATTTTTCCAGCCCTTCACTTTCAGTCTGTGTAGGTCTTTTGTTCTGAGGTGGGTCTCTTGTAGACAGCATATGTGTGGGTCATGATTTCTTACCCATTTGGCTACTCTGTTTTTTGATTTGAACATTTAATCCATTTACATTTAAGGTTATTATTGATAGGTACTTATTCATTGCTATTTTACTTCCTTTGTACCTGTGTTCCTCTCTCTATCACTTTTTTTCTTCCTTTTCTTAATGCAGTCCCTTTCACATAGTTTGCAGTGCTGGTTTGTTGGAGGTGTATTCTTTCAGACTTGTTTTGTTTGGGGAACTCCTTATTTCACCTTCCATTTTAATTGAGAGCCTTGCTGCAGGCAAGCCTTGGTTGTAGGCCATTGTTTTTCATACTTGGATTATTTCTTGCCATTCCCTTCCTGCCTGGATCATTTCCATTGAGAAATCAGCTGCTAGCCTTATTGGGGTTCCCTTGTATGTTACTTCCTGTTTCTCCCTTTCTGAGTTTAAGATTCTCTCTTTGTCCTGGAACTTGGCCATTTTAGTTATGTGTCTTAGAGTGGGCCTCTTTGGGTTCCTCTTAATTGGGACCCTTTGTACTTCCTGGATTTGTGTAACTTTTTCTCTCATCAAATTAGGGAAAAGTATGGAACACTTCACAAGTTTGCATGTCATCCTTGCTCAGGGGCCATGCTAATCTTCTCTGTATAATTCCAATTTTAGTATATGTACTGATGAAGCTAGTGCTAATACACACTTTTTTGCCCAAATTTTTAAGGGAAAAATACTGATGTGCATTTTACATGGGTAA